GTTCGTGAAGATCTAAAGTTGCCAGAAGGGGATCTTGGCAAAGAAATAGAAGGAAAATTCAATGCCAATGAAGATGTGCAGGCAAGTACAGATGGCAGACAGGACAAGTTATGGTTAATTCCGCTTCAGAAGTCATACTTTGATATTGACCATTTGTATCTCTGTGAAGGGTGGGTAGAGAAGCAGGGGAATTGGTCCTTTGAGGGTGCAGAAGGGTTTTTTTTGTACTGGTGCACTCGGTATGGCACTGAAGCCTGGCCCAATTGTCAGTAAGATGATAGGTGTAGCTCTGAAATATCTAGATAAATCCTAACAGTCCTGACCACACAGTGTGGATTGGAGCCTCCAGGCTTTCTTAATTGCTGACAGGTGTAGAGTTTTGTGACATAGTCTGGGTAGTCTAATTTGCTATGTCAGCAAACCTGTCTGCAAGTAGCTCTGCAGACTATAGTCTGTGCTGGACCACACTAGTCACTATCTAGGCTCTCTTGCAGGAGCTTGTTTCTCTTCCTCTGTGGTATGAACCTCAAGCTGCTGGCCAAGGCAACATGGCAAAGGGAAGGCAGTAGAAGAGCAAATTGATAGGAAGGGCAGGTACTGTGGATACCTTTCTAATGGCTGAATTTTTACCAGCTTCAGCTTCTGTTTTTCTTGAGAGATGGGACAGATGTTAAAATATGAAAATCTGTAACTTCCTCTGGCACAGGTTGGAGGTTACTTACTTACCTTGTCTTTTCTTCCAGATATCTGTCATAAGTGCAATGAATGAAGAATGTGCTGTAGCCATAAAGCCTTGCAAATAAAGAGGATCACCAGGCTCGGGCAGCTGCTCAGGTCTGGACAAACCACAGATCTATACATTTGGTTCCTATTGTCACCAAAGCTCTGGCCTTCACAAGCAACCTCATTTCTTTTTTGAATTGTTAAAAAGCAGTGCTGGATTCTGGATTAGTGTTGCAGGCTAACTGGCAGTTTTCAAAATCACTGAGATTTTAATTCCTTAATCATAACTATTTTAACATTCCTGTGGGTTTCAACTATGGATCTGAGAAACCAGTCAGGTGTTACTAGTGAATATATTTTTATTTGCTTGAGCAAAACAGTGTTTGTCTGTATGAACAGACAAAATACAGTATTCAGGGGCTTTTAGATAAGCTGGTAGGTATCTAGGATTATAAAGTGACCTAGAGCACAAATAGTATTTTTCTTGACATGTTTAGGTAGAACTGACAATAAAACAATAAAAGTAGCTTTTTTTTTCTTTTTTTTTTTCTAATGCTTAAGTATTTTGTGGATTGGGACTCTTGCAGAACTGTAGGTGCCAATCGCAACTTTTAGACCAAGAAACTCAAGTGATCAAAAATGCCAGCTGGCTTGACCAAGCCCCAGTGGCCATGTGCAACTTAACTGTATTACCTCTGTTTTCTTTGCCAACTTGTTGGCTTATTTTGATGATAAAATGGTGTCAAAAGCCTACCTGTGGTTTAGGCAGGCAGTTGGAATATTGGGTAGATGAGACATAGATAGGTCAGGGGGACACAAAGGTGAGAATGGATGTTAAAGCTATAGACTTTCACTCGAGGCCTTTGTCAGACTTGAAAAAATAAAATAGTTCAATTGCTTTCCTTTATTTTATTTATCTTAAACTATAAAAGGGTGACAAACTCCACGGAAATCTGTTGCAGTGCTTCCAGCTTTAGATTTAAATCTTCAGGCATAGACCATATTTTTGTAGCACAGGGACCACGGGTTTTCTCAAGAAGTGGGACAAACTGTAGCATCGAGCCTAAACTAAATGCATGTGATTCTTTTTTAAAAATAAAACTATTGTATTTTCAAAATATAGACTTGACAGACAATACTGAACAACCATGGCTTAACTATAAAAGTAAATAAATTGCTACATAGTTATGAAAGCTAGCTCCCATCCAGGGGCATTATGAGTCATTGAAACACGCATGCATGCCTCTAGTTAGTAGCTTAATGGGCAAACACAAGGCTTCATAGCAATAGTTAATGGAAGGATAACTAGCCTGTTCCTGTTTAAGGCATTCAACTTGAATTCTAAAACTTGGTTACTCTTTATGAGTGGGAAACTCTCTTAGTCTGTGGTTCAGACCTCTCTTCACAGTTGATAAAATTGCTTCATGGGCTTGCCTTAAGCTTCAGTGGCTCTTGGCTGATTGAGGATAACTTCTAAGCATGTAGCATTCTGCCCTGGATACATGCTCCAGTCACAGTGGGCCATGAGAGTCAGAGGTCATACTGCTGTGAACTGTTTAAAATGTTTTCAGCTTAATAGTATATACTCTTTAATCCCCAGAGGGCTCATGGCAACTGTCCTGAACTGCCCTTGTACATACTGTGGCTGGGCTTAGCAAATCTGGGGGGCCTAATGTATAATGGCAAAAACATGCGTTTTCTACAGGCTTCTTGTGACAGGGAGAGCAGTACCAGTGAAGATACAGACAGCAATAAATATACTCTGGTAATAAAGCACAGTTACCTGGGACACCTGACAGAAGTAAGAGACTGCCACATGCTCTTGCCTAGCACATCGCAGGCGAACTCTATAAAAACGCCTGGATTGAAATGCTAAACTGCTTGAAAAAACACCTGTAGACACAAGAGATTGAGATGCATTCAGAATAGTTTTGACATGCATGCTGAATAGTTCAAGCTAGTCTGCACTGTGCTCCTTTGTTTCTCCATTGAAAAGGTACCTGAAAGACAGGCTTTGTGGGCTTCGAAGGTGATGGTGAATCCATTGATGATGGTATTGACAGCAAGGTGAGCTGTGTGGGAAGTCATAGGTTGCTATGGCAAACTAATGCAAGTTCTAATGCTATCACTGTATTACAAGTACTTACAATATGCTTGAAAACTGCAAGACTCCGATTTGTCCCTGTTCTGGTAGTGCTTTAGTTTACTTTCAGGTGCCTGTCTGTCCTCTAAAACCTTGTTGGAAGACAGGTATTTGATGCCACTGGCCCACAGTCTGAGCATTTACTTAACCTGCGAGCTCTCCAGGACAAAGGCTGGATTTTGTCCTGTTCCTACAAGTGGGGTTCTGGTCTCACTGGAGTTTACAGGTACTACAGCAGTCTAAAGATAAAGGTTTTATGACTTCCAGCTTTGCTGGAAGAGCCTTCCTTGGGACTTACAGATGTCCTTCTATTGCAACCTTCAGTTCTGCAAGATTTAAATGATTAAGTACTTCATTATAGGTTTGTTCTTATATACTTAGTTGTCTTTTGTGAAGCACTTTGAACACTATGGAAGTGCAGAGCATCTGCTTGTCATGCATGAAGTTTCCCATAGTTAATAATACATAAGCATGAGTTAAGCATAATCTCAAAGTTTCAGTAAGGTTAAAAGTTGCTTCTAAATTAGAACATGTATTTGAGGCTTTTTTTTTCCAGAGTAAGATGTTTCAGTTTACTGTCAGAATTGTTTGCAACAAACTTTGTGATCAGTAGTTTATATAGACGCGTATTTTTAAGATCCCTAACCAAACGCTTAGGGAAGTTCTCCTTTCATAGCTTTACTTTAAAACCAATCTTACTGATGTACTTGTTCTGTAGTACTGTCTTAACACTTAAATTGTGTCAAAACTGAAAACTATAATCTTCTAAAAGCTGATGGCAATTGCTTAGAGTAAAGACTGTGAAACCTGGGAGGTAAAGAAAACTATTCCCACTTCAAATAATGCATTTTTTTAATGGCTCCAATTCACTGAGTTTCTCCTACTAATTTACAGAATTGGGAAGACTGCAGTGTTTTCTGCCTCAAGTGTTGGCAAATAATACATTAAGATTTCAGTAGATCCTTCTAATTTTTGCTTATAATGGTGGTTTTTCAACTAGGCTCTTGCTAGTTGAGCCATGTTCTCAGGGCTGGTTTTTTTTTAAGAAGTTAGCTGACTTTTGTTTTGATGAAACTGCTTTCAAGCCTCTTGCAGGTTTTTCTAATCCACCGTGTATCTAGAAATGGTGCACGATCTGTAGTTTCAAAATACAGGTGATTTTACATAATCTGTAAAGAAGTCAAACTTGTTGACAGTTCAGACTCTTATGGTTACTGCAGGTCAGTCTCACGGAATTCAAAATTCAATAAATCCCACTTTCTTTTGGTTGAGTGATTAGAATGTAGTTTGTTACAGTAGAACTAAACTTCAGGAGAAAAGGACCTTGTTAAGGATATTTCAAGTATCTCGCTTATACACAGAGAATGTTAACAAAGGCGTTGATCCTGGAGGTGTTGTAGTGGGAGCATGGTGGAGTGTTCTGCAGTCTGGTGCATGCCAAGGTGGGCAGAGGCCTCTCCAGCACCTACAGTCTGGCCCTACAGTATTTGGCATCTGAGAGTAACTTGGTTTGTGAGTTGAAACCCGAATGTTTGCTGTGTATTGCTGTATCGCAGAAAACCCCTGCTGTCCTGTGCTGTATATTTAAGTGTTATTGTTTGGTGTGGCTTTCAGAACTCTGGGGAAAGAGGAATGATGGTGATGACTGCTTTTTCTAATGATGGTGAAAACCAAACCCTGTAACTGGTGTAAGCCGGGAGCAGCAGCCCTGGTGGTTCAAATGTGTGTCTGTTTTGGAAGCTGTATTGTTTTCAACACCATGCCAATGATCAGGGGAAAGATGTATGTTCATTGTTTTGCTCCAGAACTAATAAAGATGTCAGTGCTGTGGGGATCTGGGTTGCTTCAAGGCTGAGTGCATCTGCAGGCTACTGCGCTGACCTGGCTGCATGAGAACACTGCTGTCAGCCCACGCGCCCGGAGCAGAGCGGCGCGGCCAGCGGGTTGTTACGAGAGCAAGAGAACCGCTTGCGTTCCTGTCCTACAGAAATAAAAATCAGAACTCAAAACACACGGCTGACTCCTTCATTCGATATCGCTGCCGCGCCACGGCCATAACATGGCTGCCGAAGGCGGGCTGTTTGTCGCAACTGCCTCTGGCAGCGCAGGCGCATCTGCCCCAGTTGCGTGCGTGGTGACGTCACCTCCGGGACTATAAAAGCCAGGCGAGCAGTTCGCTTCTTCCTTTCTGCGGGAGCGTGGCGCGGTGGCATGGGGCCGGTGAGTGCGGGCCCGGGCCCGGGCCGGGCGGGTTGATTACCTCGCCGCCGGGGGCGAGTGGTGGCCGGCGGGCCCCGGGCCGGGCGACCCGGCTGCGGCTAGTCCAGCTGTCCAGGCGAAGGCCGTCTGCCGTGTCCCGCGCTGATAAAAGCTGCTGGTGTGGGTGTTACGGGTAATGATGGGTGTTCTTCCGGTGTTTTAGCAAAAGGACAGAAAATCAAAAAAGTCCATCTGGAAGTTTTACCTTGACTTGACCCATCCTGTGGAAGATGGAATCTTCGATTCTGGGAATTTTGTAAGTCGTGGTTTGCTCATACTCCTGGTGCACAGTATAAGAAATCCTTAGTACGATAGCTGGATCCCAGCTCAAAAGTTGCATTCTAAATCAGTAAAACCAACTGCTGTTCTTTAAAGTATTGGCACTTTCGAAAGCTTAGTTGTATTTATAGTTAAGATGGCTTATACTTGTCCATGAATAGAACTGTTTTAAATTAAATACTGTTTTAGCACAGGGGTGACTTCTTTAATTGCACTCTGTAGAGTATTACTGCATTGTAAATACTTGCTATCGGGACATCAGTAAATGGTGATTTTTAATATTGCTATATGGCTAGGGTCCCTTCCCTAGTTCACACCTAGGGTGCCATTCCCTAGTGTTCTATTCCTTTAATGTTGAAACAGGAACAGTTCCTAAAGGAGAAGGTTAAGGTCAATGGAAAAACTGGAAACTTGGGCAACACTGTTCATATTGAACGCCTGAAGAACAAGATCACGGTGACATCCGAGAAGCAGTTTTCTAAAAGGTTGGCATATGTTTCCTTTTGTTGTGGTTGTGATTTTAACAGTGGTATATTGAACATGATGTGCTTCGGATACATACAGAGGCTGTGTTTGCTCAGGCCTTCATAGTGCTTGTAAATGTTTGTGGAAGATGTAATTCAAGCAGATCTCTAGCATTAGATATTAAAAAAACTCTGCTTGTTAAAACTCAGGGCTTGAGTGCAAATTAATACTCTCTAATATAAGCATAGTAATACAGAGATGCTTTGTATAGGTTGTTAGAAGTGTATCAAGGAAAGAAAAGCTTTTAAAGGCCATGCTGAATTCATATAATGGGTGGCTGTTTCATTACTTACTTGGTTTTATTAAAACATACGTGTATGCAGTACATGCTGTTGCAAAAGAACCTGTTGAGTCAGATGAAGCATTAAACTGCTCAGTGTGTTAGGGTGTGCAGTGAATGTGTGTGCTGATGAGAGGTTCCTTCTTAATGAGCCATTTCTTCCCTGCAACCCCCCCTTCATTTGTTGGTACAGATACACAAGTATCTGTTCTGTTAGACCAAAGTTTAGAACCACTTCTCAGTGCTTTTGAGTTACTGGCATTGTGCTGTGTAGTCAGAAAGCATTGAATAACAAATTCATAGGTACCTGAAATGAAAGTATCCTGTTATATATGGTGATTTTTAATGAATGGATATAGTCAGTGTGTTGGTCCCCTCCTGGAGCCATGTCTTGGGTGGAGTGCAGACAGCAGTAAGGGTTGTTAAACAAGAGAATTGTAACATATAATTAATGTTTTTAAGGTACCTAAAATACCTCACCAAGAAGTACCTCAAGAAGAACAACCTGCGTGACTGGCTTCGTGTTGTTGCATCTGACAAGGAGACGTATGAACTACGCTACTTCCAAATCAGCCAAGATGAAGAAGGATCAGAGTCTGAGGAATAATTGAAGCTTAGCTTTGTACTACATGCAGTGTACAAAAGACAAGAACATCTATTTATAAGAATACTTAACTTATTGGTGAATAAAGACTTTGTACCCTGTTTCACAGAGCATGGTTATAGTTTTCTAGCCTTTTTTCTAAGTTCTAATTAAAAACCAGCATGGAGAATTTTTTTATTTGCAGTTTTCCTTCCACTGCTAGAAATCAGAGCTGCTCAGTGTGGTGTCAAGAGTCCAAGTAGAAAAGGACTGAGCCCTTCAGCCAGTATGAATGTAGGACAGTGACATCAGTGTTTAACCATTTTGGTAAAAATAACACCAGAGCTTCCTGTGACTGGAAGTACCAGCTTCTTCTGCTAATATATGTAGAGCTAATGATACAATATTTAATAAAATTTTAATTCTATTTGTTTAAAAACAGGGGTATGAATTTTATAGTAATTTTTTTATTCTGTGTGATTTATTCAAGAATTGGTTGTAGCACAGTGTTGAAGTCTGGTGTTAGTAATGCTTTATTAATATCATAAAGCGAGGATCGATGTAGGCTCTGATACTGAACTTTGAGCTTGAACAAATTTGCTAGTTTAGGCTGAATTGTGCCAACTAAATTGTTTCATTTTCTGGTGATTTTTTAGTAATTATTTCAGCATTGTTTTTGCTGGCAAACCTCTGAGACAGACTGTTCAGAGAGTTACAAAGCACAAAGCAATGCATTGACAGTCGCATGACACCCACTTGCTGTACCTCAATCTAAAAACTGCAGAAGGGGAGATGAATGTTATCAGCAGCCTTAGGGTTTTCTATTTGTCAATGTCTGTTCCTGAAGGGTGGCCCAGGGAGAGGAGAGGGGGCAGTAGCGACTTGTGTAATCTTTGCCATGTTGATGTGTGTCATTTTGCTGTTTCAGAGCTAGCGAAAAGCAGTGAGTCTTAACTGGCTGCAGGGCTAAGGATTATTTCCAAGGTCCTATGTATTGAGCTTTATATGCTTCAGTGTAAATGAAACACCTGAAGTCCTGGCCTGTGATCTGGAGCACTGGATAATGCCAGAGCACTGCCGTGAAGATCCGTATTTCAGAAAAATAATCAGTTTCAAAGCAAAAAATAAAGGTGGTTATGTTCTTCCTGTTCTGGAAGAACAGAAGATTGCTAATGCTTTTAGAAAGTGGTTATGTAATACAATATATATAATATAATTATACATAACTATATAGTTATATAATGCTGCCTGTATTAAGCAGGCAGCGTTGTTTTCCACAGTAAAGCTACAAATACTTGCAAACTCTTGTCTGGTTTTGATGCACTAAGTTAAGCAAAGGATATGATTAACAGTTGTATTTCAGAATCCATCCGCACCTGTTTTTTCCATAGTTGAGCTTTTATGTGACAATATATCCTGAATGCTAGACTGACACAACAAAGCTGCTCTGATTAAATGGAACCAGCACAAACAAAATTGGAGCTAATGGGATCATGCTTCATAGTTGTTCCTCCTAAAGCAGGCTGGCATCTACCCATGTAGTTGTATGGCCCAGCAGATACAGATTGTCTATAGTCAAAAGGTAGGAAAACAAGGCCTCGGGTTTCAAGCAAAGCCACACATTTCATAGCTGGGTTTGGAGGAGAAGTGCCAAGGCAGCCATGCGTGTTCTATTACTGAGCTTCACTGCAGTGACGATGGAGTCTAGGAATTCCTTTCCTGATTCTTGACAACATGGAAAACTTGAAAAACCAAATTCCAAGTTTCTTGTGTGGATCCAGAGTGTTTTCATAAACTTAGAAACCTTTTCCTTCCTGCCTCTTCAGATACCAGTCAAGCATCTTTGTTTTATTGCTGTGTTGCCCAAGCTGTGCTAGCTGTATCTTGAGCCCTGTCTGGCTCTATGCTGTAGGCTGTTAGAGCTCTCTCGTGCAGTTAGGGATATTGAGCCACGGGAAATCAGGCAAGCTCTGGAAGATACAGTGATTCTTTCATAACTTCATGTATTTCACAGCTGAAGGGGGCAGATGTAATGCAGGTGGCAGACAGGAAACAGACCTTGTTCTCATAATTAATACAGACTATCCAGATCAGAATTGAAGCAAGCTCTTCTTTAAAGTCAGAGGTCAGCATTTCTCTGGTCTTTGGCGGGGTCTAAATCATTTCGATGGCAGCTGTGCGGTGGAGGGAGCTGCCAGGTACTTTCACTGGGGAACATGGAACACCAATTGTTTCTTTTTCCAACTAGAATCTGCTATAAAATAACCAGTTTTGTTCATATTTGTTTAGAAAGTTAAAAGATCCTGAACAGCTTGAAAACGGACAGGATTGACAGTCAGAATTTTCCATATTTAGTGTTGGACAAGAGCCCAGAAAAGCCCTGCTTGGAGGGCTGGGCTGTCCTCGTAGCTGCAGAGACACATGCTCGTGTGTCAGCCAGGTGATGAAGCTGAGGGAAATACAATGCACCCACAGCGTGAAGGCTTCACAGGGAACCAGGGCTGCTGCAGAGTTTGGTCCCCAGGGCTCCATAGTAACATGCTCTGAGTGCTTTAGGATTTCCAAAAGGGATAAGCACAAAATGCAGCAGGAAGGAGTGAGTTACGGAGCACCACTCTGCCACACCTCCACCCAGCTGAGACCCCCTGGTCCACCAAGCCAGCAGTTTGATTTGCAGAGGAATAATCATTGCACCGGTAGCACAGCAGATGGGCCAAGGCCAGCACCTACGAGCTCAGGGCTCAGGAGAACAGTGTCACTGGAACTTTTACATAGCTTTAATATAGCAAATTTAAAAAAAGTTAAAATATATTAAAAATATGTCTATATTCTCACCCCTTTAATTTTTCATTTAATGTTCCTCCATTACATGTAAAATGCTTTCACTGCTCTCCTCCAAACAAAACAAGTTTATGAGAGACCTCCCACACATGGAAAATTTCAATGTCTGGCTAATAAATAAAAAAGCAATCAGAAATTTCTTAGCATAAGAGCTACGCGGCTGTTGCCAGAGCAGCAGCACCACCACATAAGCTGCTTATTACGAGCATACAGAGATGTTCTTTTTCTGCACCATCAGTCTCCATCACCCTTCCTGCAGCAAAACTATCACTGATTTCCAGTAAAGAAAGAGCAACAAAACCCACAGAATGTGACCAATCATAACACCACTAATAAAAGGTACTTCTAAATGTCCTTGCATACCCTTATGCTTTCTGTCCTTCTGCCCTTCTGCAGATGCAATGAAAACCGGCTTTAACATGTACCCAAAAGCAGTAGGATCAGAAATAAAGAGATAAATAATAGCAGGAAATACCTGAAAATGTTTTGGGGTACTTTGTCTACAACAGACCCAGCATGTGGCGGATATTGAAGGAGGCACAGACTCAACGTATTCACATAACATCAGCTCAAAGTAATTAGAGACAGAGAGGCCTGTGGAAAAATAAATACTCAGTAATGGCTTCAATGTACCCAACAGCAGGAAGCGAGCTTCAGTGGTGGGAGTGATCTGATTACACCAAATAAAGACAAAAATACATAACAACTGTTTCTTTTTAAAGATAAAAAGAAAACCCTGAGATCAGAAATGTGCAGATCTAAAAGGCCTTATGATATTGAATATCCTCAGAATATTGAAAGTAGAGTCTTTGTCCCATGAACTTTAATACCTATGTCAGATGAACTGTCTTGTCCTGATCCCAGTCCCATGAGCAAGGGGCTGTGACTGCCATTAGCAGGTAAAGACTGATGCCTGTCACAAGGACCACTCTTAGCAGTTAGATTCATAGGCGCAAAAGCCGTAACTCAACACAGTGTTGCCAAAGCCAGGAGAAGTCGGAGGCACCAAGGAAGCTCCTGGGGACACATGGAAAGACCCTGAGGTGGAAGAAGGTGGCATAAAGACAAGCTGGAGCAGATGTGCACCCCCAAACAAGGCTGGCTTGGAAACACTTCAGCCATCAGCATGTTACTGCCTGCGATGGCAGGTCCTCCAGGGAGAGCTCATGTGAGCCAGTGCTGCACAGTGTGGTCACCCACCCTTGTGGGCAGCACAGAGCTGTGGGGCTCAGCAGGGATTTCTGTAAGCAACATCCTATTCCAGCATCTAAATCCAGCAGGCATCTCCTGCTGCTAGCCTCTGGATTGCTGCCCAGCTGTCCCACCAACATATGAATACTTAATTCCTGTGGCACGTACATTCTTGGCAGGATGCTGCCATAAAACCATTTTCAGGCTTGCCTTGGCACCTCAGCTGCTATTTGAGCCCTAACTCATGCTAAAGCTGCTGCTTGAGAGAAATGCTGTTGCAGAGCACAGACCATAGGTGGGAGGAGCAGCCAGGGCCAAGCTGCTACCAAATGGCCCAAACACCCTTCAGGCATCTATGACATGGCCCAAACACCCTTCAGGAGTCTACAGCATGACCCAAGCACCCTTCAGGAGTCTCTACAGCATGACCCAAACACCCTTCAGGCATCTACAACATGGCCCAAGCACCCTTCAGGAGTCTCTACAGCATGACCCAAACACCCTTCAGGCAGGATGCTGTGAAGCCCTCATGGAGGCAGTTGGAGGGGGGGGTTCCAAGGCAGGTGTTTTCATGACCCCTTCAAGTCTGGAAACTGCCTGCAGCAGCTTTTGCCCCTCTATCCCTTTGCTCTGGGGGCTAATAGACTCACAAAGTGCCAAAGAGCCACCAGCTGGGAAAGATTTTCATTGCTGTCCATCCATGCTGAATTTAAACAAGCAATTAGGAGAGAAACGTTTTTAAAACCTATTAACAGATCTTTTTTTCTGTTGTTTTTTTTTTTTTTTAACTAAGTAGTTTAACTTGGCAAGACAGTTCAAACATCCCATCCCACAACAGTGAGCATTAAGCGTGATTGAAGTCTTACCTTTGTTACAATGTTCTTGCCATCAGGTTAGGAGTTTCGTTGGGATTTTAAATGGGAATGTGGGTCAATGGGCTTTTTTTTTCACACAGGGGCCTGATCACTGTGCCAATGTTCCCCATACACTGACGGGATGCTTTGAGCCAAACCTGCAGGTGCCAAAGCTGACAGCATCAGCATCTTAATTGCTGGCACTAGGTCAGGAAGAAGGAAGATGGCACTAAATAATATGTACAGTAAGGTGCACAAATAGCAGAATCAAAAGTAAATAACTAAAATGCATTATTTTGATGCAG